GGGAGGATAGGCACGAAAAAAGGATTTTAAAATCTGGATATCAACTCCGGATCTTCAAAAAAAAGGTGTTGGGGATGCAGAGGAATACACCAATCATTATCATGTAAGTCTAATGATGTCCTTGGACTTCAAATGGACATTCCTTATTGGCCATTATTTATTTCACTCGTTAAATATTGTACAGATGTTGTTTTTTATTTTTATGGTACGATGTGGTCTGTTTGGTTTGTATATAAACAGAGTATGTTTGAAATATAACGATTCATATCTCAGAGGCTGTGACTTGTGTTCCGGACTCAACTGGCTGGGTTAGACAGCGAAGCAGGATCAATCAGAACTCTAAGCCGTCCATTACGCGTTTTCCGTGTCACCGAATCCATCAATAAAACGCTGCGTATCTAACCTGAAATCCACTCGTTACAACAGATCAGAGTCCAGATAGGTACTACAAAAGAAGCGACAGTCTTGTACACAACCACGCCAGCGGTAGCTGATTGCGATGTGATCAATCTGAGTCCAGGCTTGAGATGCAGAGGGAGGAAGCCCGGTGGCACATCGGCGATAACTGTGTCGAAAGTTAGTGCTAGCCAAAAACAGTTTGTAGTCTGAGCTAAGTTAAAGTAGACGGTCCCCGTTATGTCCTGCGACCGACAAGTCCCCATCGGCCACCTAAACGACTCTCTTCTGTACCTAGACACTCGATCCGAGCATTCAAGTCTCCGGCTAGTACTACAATATCTGTCGAACGCACTTCCTGGAGAAGAACATGTAACTGGTGGAAGAATTCATGCTTGATTGCATCCAGGCTGCAATTTGTCGGAGCATAGGCGGAGATGACGAAAAGACATCGTTTCTCACGCTGATTCCTTCTCACTTTGATGAAATTTTCAAATCTAACAACACATAACCGACTGTTAATGGGGAATCCAATCGATTAGTGCTGCCTCAGCTCTAGTGCTTAGTGTGACACCAACGCCAGTAAGACCAGACGAAGATGCCACAGGGTACCCGGACAAACGCACGCGAAACAAGCGTTTTGAAGCGACAGATGGAGAGCGAATTTGTAGTACTTCACCAGAGTCTTGGATACGGGTCTCGGATAGACAGCAGACATCGATATTAAGACCTTCGAAAGATAAAGCCAACGCTATCTGTTGTCTGACCTGCATAAGTGTGCGAATGTTGAAGGCAGCAAGTTTGAATGGTGCACGTGGTTTCAGAAAAACCGCTTCAGTACTCGAATTCCGTTGTAGTATAGAATTTTCAGTCAGGCAGTGACTCGAGAACGTTAGATAGAGTCGAATCTCCACCATTGGTGAGCTGCTGTATAAGTCGAAAAACAGGGATACGCAGAGTGGGAATAAAAGAGAGAGAATAAATGACGTAGTGAATAATAGTAATAATAACAATAATGTGAATCATTTGATTGTTAATCGCAGCAAGAAGAGTACTTTCCATAAATATAGACAGTTCATTATAATTGTGTGTGGGCTGTGGTACCGCTCGGGTGGTTTTCTTAGGAGGCCACACCCCGAGCCTTTGACCTAAAGTTCTAACCCACAAGGCAGTGGAGCATCGTAAGGGGGTGCAGTCCCATGGTAGCTGATGACCAATAATTGGTTCATACGCCATTTGTTCCCACAGGATACTGGAGCCCATGTGCACCATTGGTTTCAGATCCGGTAAAAGCGCCGGACATTCGCTTTTCGTCCTCTCATTTTCGTAAACACCCCCGCCGCTAGAAGGCAGTGAGTAGGACTTCTCTGGCAGAGGCTGTATACGCGTGACCGTGCGAGAGCATTTCGAGAGGGAGGGCGAGCCCACCCCACTCTCGGCCATACCAGAGCATTCGGGGGCCTATGGTAATGCTCGTATTAAAGAAGAAATATCTCATGTTCGTCAATTTATGAGTGAAAGTCAACAAGCGTTATCATGTATTGTCAAGGCTGTATCACAAATGCAAGATCAAGTAAGTTTTTTTCCCCATTTAATCAAGTACGATACTTCTCATATTTATGAGAATCACATGGTACTACTTATATGCGCATATAAGTAGCTTTGTAAGAAACGATTAGAATATCCGGTAGATAATTTCGATCAAATTTGCCAACAAGCAAACAAGCCTTCATTTCATATCATATTAAAAAGATTGATTGTAGCTTTATTCCTTCAGTTCACCATACCACTAGAATTTGTATTTCGGTTTGAAAACACCAAAATCATCGCTTTTTCTAGTTCATGTAATTGATGTGTGTACATTGAATCATAAAATCTGCCATACGATCTTCAAAAATCGTAAATTCATAGCAGAATTACTGAAACCATTTCGACATGTATTATTTTATAACACGTTTTGTCCACATCAATATGTTATACAGAAGAATAATCAACAGCTTATATTTAAATAAAAAACATACCATTACCCACAATAAAGCATGAACTTTACCAGCAGGTAAACTGTAAAATCCAGAATAAAACTAAGTTTCAAGCATTCAAATACAAGAATTCAGACAGTACAAAAAGAATGAAAGTAGTTCAATTTATCATATTCTAGTTTTTCTGTGAGTTAGCATTTGTGATTATTGGGACGATATTCAAAGCAATTCGAATGAAATAGATACATATAATTGTATAATTTGAAAAACATTGAAGACCAAGAAACACTATAAACCCTCTACTTCCTAGAGGTACTTCCTCATACGTGAGCATACTCCTCTGCACCAGAGGTGATACCCAGAACCTGTCTAGTGGTCCCCGATTTTCTATAGTTGTCGAAGTCATTACAGTCATTGATGTAAACGAAAAAGTCAACAATCTATGCAAACCTCACACTTGAATAGTGGTTTAATGAAGTAGCACCTTAGGTAAAGGGTGAGTGAGATTTTAAACTTAGGATATCTGAAAAATAACGCCATTTACTCGGGGTTAAAATCAACACCAATGTTGACCATTCATTTAAAGCAGCATTAAGAAGTTAAGAGTGGGACACAAAATAATTTGGTGAAATAACTGGACAATGATTTCTGTTCAGGATCAAGAAGATATCTTAAATTCTAACAAATAAATTACGAAATAATGACTATCTAGATCTGATATCAAGGATATAATCACTTTCAACAAAGGTATATATTTAAAAGGACAGGGGTATCGTAACCATAAACTTGTTCTTAGGTTTCAATAAGACGAACAAAAATAACTACATCACACCAAATCTAATATAATCCATTTAATATTCAATTCTCAATCATGATCTTTTTGTTTTAGATCAGATTAATTTTACTAATATCCCTTGCTAAGGTGGTACAACTGAATACTAACATGGAACAATGGATATTAGCTCAAGCTAGTGGACATTAAATTCGTACTGTTTTCTTGGGACAACGTAAATCTAGTACAAAATCACGTGACCGACATCGTCGTGATCGTAGACAGAGGCTGTGAGTGGGAATCATTCGTACGTGAAGCATTAACATATATATAGTTTAAAATATAACTAAAAAGACACTCTCCCTTTTTTTCAAATAATCACAAACATTTATCCAAACCATGCAGTAGATAAAATGTATTAATTAATACTATTCACTTTCTTCTCGCTCCAATTATATTTACAAATATTTTACATTATTATTATTATTTATTATTTGAACACATGAATATTGGTACAAGAGAGCGTCAATATATATGCGCCACACAAAACAATGAGAATTCGAAGAGAAGTAGAAAAAAAAACTAAGGAGCGCAAAAGAAAAAGAGAACAATGACGAAGAGATTGGAGTAAGGTAGTGTGGTAGTAACGACGGAACGAAAAGGTACAATTAGAAGAAATCTTTCAGGTAAAGGAGACACAACCACTTTTTATGAAGAAAGTAAAAGAAGGTTACAGCAGGATCGCCACTAGCTTCTATTCTGAGACATATCTGATAACGTCTCTAGCCACTGTGTCGCATCATCTCTAGGACCCCAACCAGGGAGTCGTGAAGGACCAACAGAAGTCAACCCTTTGCAGCTTTCTTTCATGCCACGACACCATGTCATGCACTGACCACATCTCCGCTTCTTCCAACCAGTCCCAGAGTCGGCAAATAATGCACGACATGGAATTCTCTGGGACGACATTCGGAGAACATGTCCAAGCCACCGAAGTCGGTGTTTCAAGATGGTGACACCAATTGCATTATCATCTCTGTGCCCGAACACACGATGTTGAACCTCTGCATTACTAACATGGGGTTGTCAATGGATGTCAGCAATCATTCGGAGAAAACGACGATCAAACACAGAGAGTCATCTAACGTCCTCGACTCGGAGAGGCCAGGTTTCACAAGCATAGAGCAAAACTGCTCTCACCGACGCGTTGTAGATCCGACATTTTACAAACAGACTAACATCACGAAGGCGCCATAGATGGCCCAGATTGGCATAAGCCGCTCTGGCTTTCACTATACGTGCATTGATCTCATCACTCACACCCCCACCAGCACTTATGCAGCTACCCAGATACACGAACATCTCGACTACGTCTATCTGCTCACCATCCAGGGTGAGTACAGGATTGGAATCCTGCCAGTCTTGTAGGAGTACTTTGCACTTCGAAGGTGCAAAGCACATACCATACCTACGGACACTGATTGCCAACTGATTAAGTGCGGATTGCATGCCTTGGGCATTATCGCACAGTAAGACAATATCATCCGCATACTCAAAATCGAGAAGTCTTTCTCCAGGCAACAGATCCACACCACCATTATTTACATTCATCAGAGCTGTTTCCAGAATGTCATCGATGGCAAAGTTGAAGAGGAATGGTGAGATTGGGCAACCCTGCCTAACCCCACTGCTCGAATGGAACAATGGAAAAAGATGGTTGTATGCCCTCACTCTGCCTGAGGTGTTTGTATATAGGGCTTTCAGGATGTTAATAAACTTCTCAGGCACACCCTTCTTCAATAGACAATCCCAGAGAACAGTCCTATCCAACGAATCGAAGGCAGCCCTAATGCCAAGAAACACTACGATTGTTGGCCTTTGATCAAAGGGCCATACTTATCAAAGGCCAACACCATACTTATCAATATTTTACAAGGCAATATTTAATTCAGTGAGTAAAAATATTCAAAATTATCAGCCAAGAAGCATGACAAAAGTTGATTTTTGGAAATATAAAAAAAAGTATATATGAGAGATTTAGTGTAAAATTTCAGTCTTCATCTGTGGTCCCATAAAGCAAAACAATGAATATGTTCATTGTGTCACTGCGTCTTCATTCTGTTCGCAGATTAGGTGAACTTGTGACCTCTTCAAACATAGCAGTTCTCCAACTCGGTCTCCTGAAAATATCCTAGTATGCCGTGAGGTCGGAAGGTCTTGAGTTGTGAGTGAGCACTGAAGTCTCAAACTAGAGAGAAAGTGGTGTCCGATGTGAACCGGTTATCGGTGTCCCCGAAGAAATTTATCTTAAAGTTACAGAGAACAAGCTCCATTACATTTCTTTTACAATTCCCAGTGAAATAATCAAACAAAACATCACATTTTTGAAGTATTTTGTTCTCTGAACTGAATGCTTTAGTATGAAAGCTCTAATTGTCTTTCTGAACAATATAATCAGAATGTACTTCAGAAAGAGATCCACTGGAAACTAAACACAATCGACTAAAACCTGTTAACCTATAGTTTAATCAGTTGGTCGTATGGTCGTTCACGGGTTTGTTTTGGTTTTTTTTCCATGACTTCATATTAGCTCATTTCTTTATGGAATATACGTCAGTAATGTTGTCTAAAAAGATAATGAACGCTTCACTACAGAAACCATCCAGCTCAGAGAACAGAACGCCTTCACACTATTTGTTCTCAGCGTTAAAAATGTCATTAACACTAATGACTTTTTGAAAGCACGTTGAAATATTTCATGGGTTCCATATTAATCAACCACATTTGCATATTACTGCTCAGAATGTGTCAGAAACTAGATGAAAACAAAATTATTAGCTTTTTTTCGAAAAAAACATCTACAAGTTGTTGAATAAAGAAACATATTTTTGGCTGATCATAAATACACATAAAAATACAAAAATAGATGATAATGTGAAGTGCATATTGGTCACAGAGAGAAGAAAAACAATAATAGTCTATCATACTTTACTTTTGTTTGTCTTCAAAATAATGAAATATGTATAAACAATCGGTGAAATCTTTACAAAAATTTCTAATATAACAGTATATGTGAAGAGGGAGAGAGAAGATAAAGAAGATATTTCAGTTATCTAACTGTACTTCATAGTTTCATATGTTGCCAAAAAAATAACGGAAAGCACTTATGGAATATGGATTTCAGCATTTATCCCTTTAAACTAATTTTTATACAAAGATTAGAGAGTAGACAATTATTATGGAATAAGAGAGGATTGAGATGGTAATGAGGTAAGCAGGGGTTAAATCACCCTAAACAATACACGGTCTCGAAAAACTTAAATAATCAGGTATGCACACATAAGCTATATATTTCCTAGACAATTCACAATTATTTTCAAACAATATACATATATATTGTGAGAGTGAAATTATTATCATTTTGAGTCTAAAATAACACAATCTTAATCTGACTGAATTTCAGAAGATAAATTAACGTTTGATCGTTTTGCAGGTGGTATAAGGAATGAATCCAAAGTTACTCTTTTTCGACCTGGAGTTTGTGATAAACCAGTGGTAGTAGTCACTTTCGGAGAAGAACAGTTTTCTTTACTGTTATTGACAGACGAGGGAGTGTCTTTTTCACTTGTGGGAATTTTGTTAGTAACTCCTTTTCTTCGACGTGGAATATGAGACGAACCAGTAGAAGCAATAGTAGTAGTCACTTTTGAAGAACAGTTCGCCTGACTTATGTTAACCGATAAATTAATGTCTTTTTCAGATAAATGAGTTTTTTTAGATTGAGACAATTGTTCATTCTTATGAATTGATAATTCCTTATCAGTTTGCTTACTTGATACTACAACATCCGAAGATTGTAGAGGCTGCAATAAAACAACTTGAGAATTATTGATAGTCATTACATTTTTGTGCGGTTCATGTAAACGATCTACAGTTGTTTGTAATTGTGATTGTGGTACTTCTAGAGATCGACGACTAGTTGTTGATGCACCGCGATTTACTCTGATATTAGTTACTGCTACATCTGTTAAATATTCCCATGGAGGAAATACGAAATTATGAAAATAATCTTTATCAACTTCGTCCAAACTACTAGCAATACCACCACTTAATTCTTGAATATTGCACAGATTACAAAGACGCGAAGCATATTTCTGAAGTACTTCTAAGTTAACCATCCACCTAAAAACATGTGATTAATGGGTACAATAAAGAAAATGACACCAGCGTAAATATATCAAGATTTAGAATCTATAAAAAGTTGAGTCATTCATACATACATCGGATCACTTAAAAAGACAAACATATTTAACGGTACGTACATAATTTTTCCAATATTGAACTAGATGTAGTACAGCTAGAAGCTTTATCTCTGGGACCTAAATTCTGTGATAGTAGACATAGAATCAACCAATTAGATACTGATGTACAATTTGAGAATTTATTTTCACAAACAACTGACTTGATTCCTACCTCATTTGATGACCTTGCTCGGTTTAAAACCACACTAGTTGATAGCTGCCAACAATACAAGAATAGTAAGGGTACCACAAATCACCTACTTACCAAGCAGCACCGTGAATCTTTAATGAAACTAAGAAAAGATGAAACCCTAACCATAACCAAACCAGATAAAGGAGGAGGTATAGTTCTCATGAACAAAAAAGATTACCTGGGAAAAATGGAAACAATGCTTAGCGATTCTAGCAAATTTCAGAAAATTACTAGTAATTGTGACGTCAATAATAAAGTAGAAAGACAACTGGCCAATTTCCTTAAAGATCTAACGAAAAAGGGAATAATTACGACTGAGATTTACGATTCAATTAAGCCGACTGGATCATTCACACCACGATTGTATGGTTTGCCTAAAGTACATAAATCGGGTCTTCCTCTACGCCCAGTTCTAGATATGTACAATTCTCCTTACCACAAAATCGCAAAGTGGCTAGTACGAATCCTAGAACCTTTACACAAATCAGTTGTTAGAAATAGTGTAAAAGATGTCTTCAACTTCATCTCCAAAGTAGAAAATATTAATGTAAGCATGAAAAATATGATCTCATTGGATGTAGAATCTTTGTTCACCAACGTACCACTTATAGAGACTATTGATTTTATATGCAAGCAAATATCAAAGAAACAAATCAACATTGGCCTGCCTAACGATAGCCTAAGGGAACTGCTCCTAAGATGCACTCTGAATGTACATTTTGTCTTCAACAATACTTACTATAGACAAATAGACGGGATAGCCATGGGCTCGCCTCTAGGCCCGATTTTAGCTGACCTCTTCCTAGCAAAGCTAGAAAACGGACCTCTCAATGAGACTATTAAGAAACTGGATTTATATTGTCGATACATTGACGACACATTCATTATCGTAGACCAAAACACTAGTAAAGAGGAACTCCTAGACCAATTCAACAGTGTTCACCCAGCGATCACCTTCACTGGTGAAAGCGAGCATGATAAGAAGCTGAGCTTCCTCGACGTCACGCTAAGCAGACGAAGTGACGGCACATTAAGTAGAAGCGTGTATAGAAGAAACCCCTCTTCATGCCAATATACTCACTTCTGCAGTTTCACACCCATCCGGTACAAGAGAAATTTGGTCAGATGTCTCACGAGCAGAGCAAAAAAGATCTGTACAGTAGACACTTTAAGTCAGGAGCTTGAATTTCTCAACAACTCACTGACCGAGATCGGCTACCCCAGCGCGTTCATCAAGAAATACATGCAGGATATAATAAAGAAGTCGGAGATTTCGACTGTTCGTAAGAAACCTTTATACATGAAAGTGCAATTCAACGGGGATGTGGCTAGTGACACTCTGAAATATAGGTTAACCAAAGTAATCACCAAGACATTCTACGCAGCCAATCTTGCGTTGACCTTCTCTTGTCGTCCAGCGATGTCTACTCAAACGAAGGATAAGTTACCTGAGTTGGCCTCTTCCATGTGCATTTACAAATTCAGCTGCTCCTGTGGAGATAGCTATATAGGGCGTACTACCAGGCAACTTAACCAACGAATGAGTGAACATTTACCAACTTGGTACATAAAGGGTCAGAGAAAAACTATTCGGAGTTCTATACTAGCACATCTTATTGATAGCGGTCATACAGTAGAGAAATCGAAATCATTTCGAGTTATCTATCGTATACCTCCATCATTTCCCGACGGAGTCCGTTCCCGTCTCCTATATATAGCTGAAGCCATTGGAATTCGTACATATAACCCCAATCTATGTGTACAGAAGAAATACGTGACTCCCCTATCCCTTCCATGGCCAGTTATAACTTAACTAACAATTTTTTTTTATTTTTTTTTATTTTTGTTTTAAATTTTATTATTATCATTATTTATTTTATTCTATTTGTGTTATTGTTAACCTTATTTCCACATCCATTATTTGTTTGTCATTATCCGCCTCTTTGTATTCTTCACTATCTAATTATTTACACACATCTTATTACGTAATGATTTTTAAGGTTTTGTGATTACTATTCCTAGTCTATTTACCCATGTTTATTTGACCTTCTATTTCCAACGATTAACTATTGATAAGAGTTTTGTTATTGTAGTTTATTATTCTTACCACTATCTGTTCACCTGTCTTCGTACTATCAACTTGTACTTTTACCTATTTTATGTGTAGTGACTTATTCTATTTCATTGTGATTAATGACCCAGATTGCCTTGATTGGTTTAAAATTTTCGTATAAATATCCATGTATATTAGAGTAAAGCCTGATGACGATCTAATTGAAAACAATTGTTCGCTTATATGTGTTGTTCTAATTTTCACATATTTAATAGTTGATTTCATGAGTCAATTATATCTAGAACACCATGGAAAACGTGCAAGCACTAGGCGGACATTTCGTCCTGATATTGAACTCATCAGCAGTGCGCACCCACGATCTCGGTCGCAGAATTCGAACCCAGGACCTTCGGTCTCCCGTGCGGACGCCTAACTTCTAGACCACTGAACCGGTATCCAAAAGTTCAAACCTCCATAGCGGAATTGTGGATACTTACTGCTGAGTCCCATACTACGATTAAAAGGCCGTCCAACGCTTCCATGTTGGTCTAGCTTTAATTACATTATGAATTCAACAACTAACTTACTACGACCTCCACAATACCCTCTTTCTGATAAAAAAAACGTATTTATTATGCAAAAAGTGACTGGATCAACACGGTCGTGTAACCGTACATAGATTAAATCAAAGCATATTCCACACAGAATTACACCACTGCACACTGATTGCTTCATTTTCAGCTAGTTTATCCTAGCGGATCAATGGAGAATCCTCTAGAACTTTCCTGTATAAAATTATAAGTCTACTAGAATTTTTCTTACCGTAACATCAACTTATTAAATTTGTTGTTTTATGAGAAAACACTTATGTCCCTGGCCAACTCGTATTCCGATTTAGGAACTGGGAAAATAGAGGGCCAAAGAATATTAAAAGACAGTAGGAGTAACCGAGTCGAGACTTAACAACGACCAGTTAATATTCAATCTTGAGTAGACCTAAAGTGGGGTTAGAGTTAGGTTACCCAACAAATGGCAGATGAAAGCTTACATCACACTGAATACGAGTTCTAGTGAGCTATGACCTGTGAAAATCAATGGGTGTAACAATTATCCACAGCAGGCAATCAATGAAGGTCGCGCAATATCGTGAGTTCGTTGAAGCTGGGCATTATCACTATTGCATGCCGACATCAGTGATCTAAAAGTTAAACCATCATGAACGATTCCTGGATCCGGGGTCGTGGATGAGCACTGCTGAAGAGCCTCATAATGAGAAGAAACGGCTGCCCAATACTTCTAGGTTCCCAATAGTAGACTAACTGAGATAAGCTCATGATTTAAACTATGAAAATGTAAAAATAATTGCAGAAAGTAACGCAAGGTAAATTACCTTCCCTCAGTGAAAACCGCGATCTGAGATAATTTGGATAACACAAGTGATTGACTTAATGGTAAACTATCCCAAACTGGACCAGATAATACAAAAAGACCGCTACGTGAGACTGATGAACCCACTGCAGAAGCATTATATTTTTTATATTCCATATATTGTAAGCACTCTGGTAGGATGCCAGTAGTATGACGATGCCAAAAAACACGGAACTCAAAAGCTAATTTATGCTTTCCCAAAGGACTTCGATGAACAAGTTGAATAAAATACGCCATCGCTATCAAAAAATCAAGTACAAATTACCCACATAAAGTGAAACAATGCTATAGAAATTATTAATATTAGAATTAGTAATAATATGATAGTTTTCTTAATTAAATTAAACTTTGGATATATATATATATATATATATTTATACCTCGGTGAAACAATCAATCCACTCAGTCACTGTATTTAAGTGGATACCTTTTGACTTCGGATATATTTTAAGGGCATTTGACTTATGAGAAACAAGGTGTTCCGAAAACTAACTTATAAATATTATAGCAATTGGTAATTTTATCTTTATTCTTAAGATCTTCAGTTCAAGAATTTATGCGTGAAAGTTTGTAGGCAAAAACATTCTGCTTCCATCAAACTGACAAAGCAAAGTTGGTTTTGAATGACATAGCCAAACATCCAAATCAACCGCTGCTAGTTATCATCAGTTCAAATCACAGTTTCATGTTAAGGACCATAAAAATTAGTGTTTATTTGAAGAGCATTTAATATATTGTATTCATGTTTAACACCCTCAGTAGTAGAAACTGATAAGATCCATTTGGCTATGTCGAGTTCACCTTCCGATCATAATCAGACCCCATCTTCATCACCAAATATCGCTTCTACCAACTCTGACCTTTTGTATTTGACTCCCTCAGCACGTGCTGTTAGTACTAACGATTCGAGTTCAGATCTTCTAAAACCTCACTTCGAACTATGTGTTGTAGCTTTCAATGTTCGAACTCTATGTTAGACAGAACAACAGAGATCACTGGCTATGACCCTAGAATCTTCTTCCATCGATGTATGCTGTCTTTAAAATACGCTTATACGATCCTACCTTGATGATTCACTTGACTTCACCCAGCTAGTATAAGGAGCAAATGTAATACACCCTTTATGTATTTAGAGACGCGACAGCAACTCGTTATCTTCCCGGTATAGATATTACTATAAATCTGAAATATGAACAAGTTCTTATCGGGATTCCCATCGACATTCGCTTATTTGGTGTCCATTTCAATGGCAAAATAGAAATTCAGTTTCCACTCCTTCCCCCAGGTTCATCAATAAGAAGCATCCTTCCGTGGTATGGGTAAACGGGAATCGACAACTATCTTCACATCTGGCAACCAACAACAATACCTCGGAAGTTTTAAGTTCTTTCTTTCTCTTAACACTTCCCCTCCAGCAAATAATAAACCGTTACATGTAAGATATTTTAGCATTACACCGAAATTTCATTAATATGAAGTAACCTTCTTCTGGGACAGATTTTTTCGGTCTTCTTGAAGTCGTAGTAGTGGCACCAATATCTGGTTTAACAGAAATCGGAAAATTTATTGTCCATAAATGCACCTATGGTCAAACAAAAAGTGTAAATATGAATAAATTAGTATTATACAAAAACATCGAAACTATAAATTTGATATTTCTCTACCGAACTATAAAATGGTCTACACCAAGTTATTTACAAATTATTACAATATAATAGTGTGTGATTGTTTCACTGATTGAAATTAAATTATTAATGTATACCATGTGCAGTACTGCTCAGAGAAAACAAGGCGTATTATCTGTTCATAAACATGTTTAGTACGTTAGCTGAGTACGATGTAGTAGATAAAACTGATGATCGAGATGGATCACGATTTCTTTTTGCACATATTTGGTTTGCAACTCAATCTTGTTAGTCAGCTTTGACGTAGGACCAGACACATATATGCATCGGTCCAAGTTGCCATAATTCATTAGCACAACAAGATGAACACCGAATTCATAGAAATAGTCAATTCAATGGTGGTAATGTGTGACAGAAAGATTGCATATAAGGATATAGTAAAGAAACAAAGAATTAGTTCGTAGAAAGAAATATATCAAGTTTAAAGGAAGACAAAGAGTGTATACACCTACGCCATTGTGATCAATTGTGAGCCATGTCACCCATAATCTCCAATCATTGGTTACGAAAGTCACGCGGACCCCAACCAAGTAATCTGCATCTATCAACATGGCTCAGGCTAGAAGTTAGTGACTTCAACTAGTCAAGTTGAGTGAAAAGCATTAATCGAATAGGTAACAGTTAACAAAACACTACACTTCTTTTTAGAAATGATAATAAATCTCTCGGTTATGTAGTTTACGGTATTGCTCTGTAGCATCTATTGTATAAAAGAAAACAACTATCGCAGTTGCATCAAAAAATCCAAGTTTCATCAGTAAAAAAACAGATAAAGTGTAAGATGTTTAACACTGCTTTATGGATTTCGGCAATAAACAGTACCTCATCCGAGATGGATCACTTTCAGCAACGTTATCCCGCATGAATGAGCATTTTCATGGAACCCAGAAAATTATACTGATGATATTGTGATGTGATATGACAACGAAGAACTTAAAATTAAACTAGATTTGTGTACTGGGCATCCAGATACACTTCAAATACACCACTAGACAGATAATATATTATATTAAAACAGAGTATGATACGTAATAAAAAACTGTTTCTATCCTATGCGAAATACACTTACGCGATAGACGCTTAAAACAGATTTCATTAATTGGGATTCAGTTTTCTCATTGGTCTGCTTACTGAGAATAAATCTTTCCGGTAATTCGATGTTTTCTTTATTCTCTTCGAAATGATTATTATTATTAGTGGCAGCACTAGTAGTATTATTAGTAGTTGCGTTACTGCTTGGCATACAACGTTCAACTGGTTCAGGCAACCATAAAGGTCCTAGTAATAATGGTTTTAAACGTTGAAGTCCACGACGATGAGCTGCTTCATACTCTGCAACAGATAACCGTTGACGCAACTGCTTCATTTCATCAGGGATCGGACCTTCACTTTCTTCTGCAGCCACACCTTCATCATCAGATAAATAACCGTGTGGAACAAAGAACTGATCATCGTCATCTTCATCACCATCTTTTTCCTCATCCTCGTCTTCTTCATCTTCATTCTGGCTCAGAAAATAAATACAATATACTAATAAAAACCTATACATTAAATATAGTTGATAACGGAAATGTGATATAAATGAAGTAATGAATGCAGCAGTCAGTTAGCCTGTATACAACTTTCCGCACTTATCCATTAATTACGCGTGGTGTGAAAAAGGGTAGTGATGCACTACTTGATACTTTGAACCTCAATTATTGTAACTAATAGAGGAAGATATTGAGGGACATGGTTCGAAATCGGTCACAATACCTTGGATCTATTCACTTCTGTTTTAAAATACTTGTAATTATTTCCCAAATTCATTCTTTCGTGAATATATAATAGAGAATATTTATGCCTAGTCTTTTCTGCTATCACTGATACTGTTACTATTTCTACTATTCTAGCACTTTTCTTGAAAATTTATTTTGTTATGACGTGATATGGTAACTTAAACTGATGCATACATGTACCAGGTTTTACGCTGCTCATGGTTAACTGGTCAAACCTCAACAGCTGGAGGGTGATACGAAATCGTGCTTTAACAGCTAGATGTTGTTGAGTGCTTGGAGCGAATGAACCATAGTGGCATACGTTGGATAAAGTGATATTCTTGCATACTCTCTCTGTCGTTAGCTTTTTCGTCATCTAACGATTCTAGTTGAACTCTGGGATAATAATAATAATAATAATAATAGTGAGATCGGTGGAAAAATATTAGAAAATATCGAACAGTTGCAATCGTGAGTTATGTCAACTTCAACTAGAACTAACACATTGAAATTTGAGAAGCATAGAATTTATAGTTGTCAAAAGTAACACATCAAGTAAAATGATGCATTTTCGGATTGAATGAACAGAAATGAAATTAGAATGGACATGAAAATTTTATTACATAAGAAGTGGACCAATAAAACAAATTGAATGACTATAAGAGTTTAATGAGATTTTTTAAACGTAGGTTTCTTGCGAATCGATACTCACAAGCGATCTTGTGAAAAATAATGCTCTCTTCAGAAATTCGAGCCTACATCATGGGTGGGAACAAGGTATACCACGATATCATAATGTTTAGTTAGGGGAGCAAGTTTGCAAATCAGATTTGAGAAAAAATCACCAAAATGAATTGAATAACTTTATAATGATTGAAACTTAATGACCGAATCGCGGAAAGTGAAATAATTTAAAATGAACACGTAGTGATGCCAAAACACCAATAGTTCGTCTCAATCAATAACCACAGGGAATTATTAGTTTAGTCTCAAATGCACGTGTAGTATAAGATGTATTTCAAATATTTACATGCTCCACTGAATCAGAATACAAACTTATGGAGATATTCTCGCTGGATTTTGTTCTATCTTGCCAGTGGTTTAGAATGTAGTAAATAATCCGCGTTTTCCATTTATGTGAATAGTTTGGTTTTACATCATGATAGAGAGCAACTTTTTAATATGGAAAGCAGTTACTGTCCTGCATATTCTTCCGGTATACTCGAGATTATAATCTATGTATAACTGTCATACAAAAATATATTATATTTAATAGAATTATTCTGTGCAAAAACCGCATGGTATACACAATTTTCATATAATTAGCAGGATGGACAGGTGAACGAAATAATTGAAATAGAAAGGATTAACTGAATTACAGTCATTTACATGGCACTACTAATATAAGTCAGTTGACGAGCAGTTAAGGTAAAATTCGAATTAAATTCAAAATGTTTATCGGTCTAAACTGTCACATATTACACAAACGAAATAAGACCAAATTAACAAGATAAGAAACAGGAAACATAACAATATCAAAAGTAGTGGAAAATAATTAGGCATGAAGATTGTAATTCTGAAGAAACAAATCAACTCTTGGTATGAAATGTGCAAAACGATCATATGAACGGTGTGAAGAATAAATACGTTTACTTCACTGCAAATGACTGATTATGAGACCTTTCAACTCATGTTTTCACTCACATCAACTACGATTATTTTAAGGCACTCAATCAGAAGATATACACCTGTCAATGTACCTGGAACTAACGGTCAGTGGATTAATGGATACCCGAGGACTTAGTCTAATAACGTTAAAACTTTGCTAGTCTATTATCAAAACAGCCAATGTAGCGCATCGGGATGGACGATAGTTAACTATAGACATCATCCGGCTACTACTCTTCAGTTGATGAAGGTTAACATTTTTATTGCCAAAATTACACCTAGAAGTCATTAGAAAGAGACGAGATTCAAAATTTTATGTTTTATCATTGTAACAAACGGTCACTTTTTGTGTGAAAATAAATAACAACTAAATTCTTTCCAGTAGGCGAAGAAAACACCAATAAGGCTAAGAATTTGCGAGCGAAAACACTACATGAGTCTATCCATTGTAAAAAAAGGTACTAAGTATATTCAACTAAGCAACTTGAAAAACCACATATAACTCCGATCACAATTAAAATCACGTGGAATTACATTGAATTGATCACAAAAAAGAAACAAATAGGCGAATCAGCGAAAAATGGGCGTAAAAATAGGCTGAAAGACAAAGTACATACAAGTCTACCACCCGATTTATCAATCTCATCAATCTGAAATAATAAATGTAGCCGAAAATGTATGCCAATGTCATGTTTAAAGCCCTAACATAGAAAATCTAGTAATATTTCACTTTCAAACCGATACCCAACAATTTGGCATTAGATAGTTTTCAGATTTAAAAATTAAGGTGTAAAATTTTCCAAATATTGGGCGAAAAGACCCGTCCTATCTACAATGTATTTTCACAGTCGTAACATTTAAATGAATAAATACATATGAAATTAACTGGAAAGTTCCTTTTGCCCTTTAAAATAGAACAAAAAAACAATAACGTACCACTAACTGCGAATAAAATTTGATTAAATATATTAGAAGAGGTTACAAGAATGACGGATATAACTTTATGGATTGTTTCCTACTCATTCATTCATGTTTATAAATAAACATTCATAATCCGTTTTTCTAGTTTGAAGTGTTCAGTTAGTAATCTGGAATATATATCACCCATTTGACAGATCTAACAGTGCAAATATAAAGTACATACTATCGGGAATCATATTTCGTTATTTTACATTATGTATTGATTAAATTGTCGTTTTAACAAAGCAAAACTATACATTCATCATTTCGAATGAGTTAACTCACATCAGACTGTGTAATACTTTCACCAGGTTCTTCTTCTTCCCATTCATCATCTGAATCGATGGAATAATCAAGTTGATAATCATCACGAGCAAATGGTCTACGACCAGTAACAATACGACTACGACGTCGCCATGTACCATAATATGCAGGTCGATAATTTTCAACGAATTGAAATAACTTTGCACGTAGCCATACTGTTCCACCACTGCCACGATTATCGTGTTGTTTTAAAGCGACCGAGTTTATAACAGGATAGATATTATCTCCAAGATATTGGACTTCGGGAGGTTCACTGGATATGAAATATAAAATAACATACTATCGTTCATATAATGAGTAGACAATCACCATATTTAACAAAAAACTAGGTTTTTTTATGTGTTTTCTTTTTGAACTCACAGAATACACACGGAACTTTTATTTCCAATAGACAAGGGAATATTAGTGGCTCGTCACGAGACCTGAAGGAATAAGTTTAATATTCTCTGAAATTATGAGTGCAGACTGTGTTTCAAGCTAAAGTAAAACAGAAACTTAGTGTTTCATAGTTTTTAATGGTCCCTCAAATTCTTTCATTCGGTGATAGACAACACAATTAAACTAAGAGAAATTACAAGAGCTACCGAATCAAAAAGTGAATTGATTAGGAATCTTATTTACTGCCAAGCGTGAAGGGAATAAAAAAGTATTGAGAAAGCATTGTCAAAAGTTACAAATCAGTATCTGTTTAAACTTAAATGTAATGTAGGCTATGGACAGTGAAAAAAAACGAAAACAAGCCACTTAAAAATGAAGGCATAAACACTAAGAAACAACCTAAAACTAAAAGCTACAGTAGCTGTTATTCAGGATGATAGTTTTGAACTACTACTATATGGACAAGACTAAACTTTAAGTGTGTATTATTGCCTATTGAAACGAAAAACGGTTGTTGAAAAATTTTGTTATTTCAGTTGGATCTAACAGAGAGAACTTCGGAGGACATAGCGACGAAATAAGGCGTTCCCTAAACATCCAACAACCATTCACAGTGCAGATTACTGATGGAAAATCTGTTGTCGTTAGTCGTTACGTGAATCATCCCATCATTGCTGTGTTAAAAGCACTCAGAAAGACAGATATCAACATAGAGCTCGGCACAAGTAGATGTTGGCCTGTCATTACACATTAGGTCGAGATGAAATTAACAAGACGTACGTCAAATGAACCGAAATAATGTAGCAGCAACCATAAACAGAAAGAATAAACATTAGGAATGTGGTTCGAAAAGTTGGTAGAAAGGTATGTGTTAAGGAATACTGGAAATACTGATCTATAGGGACGTAAAATGTGAATGAATCCGCGCCACTGAGATCTACTGTGAGCGATGTCACTGAATCATTTAAACCACTGGTAGCGGTTATCTCACAGACCCCAAACAAGTAGTCTGCACTTAACAATATGCCTTGGACTAGTAGTCAGTAACGTCGAGTGATAACTCATTTTTGTTTTGTCGCACCTCGCTGTTTCCCAACCTGTTTCTGTTCGAACAAGCATCGCTTATCGAGGTAAATTATGGTTAGATATACAGAACATATGTCACAAACACACAAATCGATGACGATTTATTACTTCATCAACCGATTTTTCCTCTTTGCCTGGTACCTTGTCCCTAATCTCAACAATACATCCTCGATTGTTCCACAATACGCCAACAATTTCTCGAAAACATATATGGTCGAAAGCCTGCAACCTATGTATGTCTTCCATCCTCATAAACCATGAACGAAAACCACTGAGTAACACAGAGCAGAATTTTGTTCAGTATATTAACCCGTTTGTTGAAAAACAGACACCTTGCCGATGCTACAAGTTACACAAGTTGTGAAATGCTAACAGAACTTTCTGAATCCGTTCTGAGACTTCGTTAAACACCAACTCACTGGGGTTGCTTATACTTCCCAGATAAGTAAAGTGGTCAATCCACTCAATTACTTAACTTCTTATCACTAGTTCAGGCATAAACGCAGACTAGTCCTGAAACAACATTTTGCATTTTTTTAAAAACCCATCCCAAATATGTTAGAATTGTCGCTCAAATAGATCAAATGGCTGTGTTTTGATAGCGTCTTCACCAAATAGGACTGTGCCATCTATGTATTCTATATCGATAAGAGAACCTCCCAGTAGGAGATTAACTCCTCAAAAGTCGAGTAAATTGTTAATTTGAAGCAAACACCGATGACAAAATTAAATAAAGACGGAGAAAATGAGCACACCTGGTGAACCTCACAGTTCTGATGAAAGTTGTCCAATAGTGTCTGAATAAAACTTTCATAAAGTTCATCTACTTCATTGATACTCCTTTCAATGAAAAACATTACCACAAAATCTCTAAGTTAACAGAGTAGAATGCTGTCTTAAGGTCAAGAAAAACCAATATAGTCCGCTGTCAAGTAAGCATTCTTATTTAAGAAGACCTGAAGAGTGAATATTCGGCCTCCCAAACAAGTCTACTTCTACAATTAGGCTAGTTTCACTTCGTTTATTCTCTACTAGAACAGGATAAGCGTTGGGTGATATTTTGAAGTTGATACTTTAGATACCACACTAGTCAAACTGATTACTCTGTGGTTATCACAGGAGGATTTTTGTTCCCTTTTGCAGATTACAATGGCCAGCGATCGAGACTAGTCAGACTACGTCTAATTCCCAGACTCTAGGTAGGATTTGTCAACTTGAACACTAAAACTGAACCATCATCCCTAAAGATTTCTGGAGTCGAGACATCAGGGTTTGTTGCTTTCTCATTTTAGATTACCTATAACCTTTCCAAGTTCATTAAGGGTCGAAGAACTCATGCTGATTCGCCATTCAGGTTGACGAAAAGCGAATGTCTGGCGCTTTAACCAGGTTGGTGGACATAGAGATTCCACCTAAGGGAGTTGAAAAACCCTGATTCCAAACCAATGGTGCACATGGATTCCAGTATCCTGAGGGAACAAATGGCGTATGAACCAATCGTTGGTCACCGGCTACCACGGGAGTGTATCTCCTTACGATGCTTTACTGCCTCATGGATCTGACCTCTGGACCGAATGCTCCAGGTGTGGCCCCCTAAGAAAACCACTTGCTTCGGTTTGGGCACCCGGACAGTATCACAGCCCTCACAGAAATCAAGTGAGATTTGTGTGGGGCATATATATTTGGTGCCTCCTTGTACCAATATCTATGTGTTCAAATGAATAATAAACAAATTCAGGTTGTTTGGAGATAGATGGTAACTGAAAAGTAGCTGGAGGCCAATTGAACTATCCCCTAAAACGTTCTCCTAGATTGAGTGAGAAATAGTTTGGTCCTTTACCAAGGCAGTCTCATACTTGCCTTTTGAATACTTGCATTCTTGATCAGTTGGTAGAATATATCCGAATTCAAAATGTATCTACTTATATACAGTGACTGAGTGAACCGGTTGTTTCACCCAGGTATATATATATATATATATATATATATATATATATATATATATATATATATATAAAAGGCAGCGTACATTGGCCAAGTACTTGGGTAGGATAATGGTAATATCTGTCCTGTTCGTAGTTCATGAAGGTAGTTAGTACGTCCGAATTTAAGTAACCCAAGTGATGAAGTTGCATCTTTATCGTTTCCGTTTACCCATGCATGTCGTAAGTTTTCTATGTTGCTTTGTTTTGAGGAAAGTAAAGCCTGTGACATTCTGTGCAAAGAAGCCATTCTCATATCTTTTCTGACTTCAAATTGTATAAATGGTCCACAGTCTGTACCAGAGACGGTATTGATTTCCTAAAAAAAAAAACAATAAACGAAAATTACAAGACCTTTTTGCTTTCTGATTTCACAAGAAATCCTAACAAAACTGCACGTTGTTTTTCTTCTCTTTGGCTTTTTAAATCTTCTTCCCTTTTCTTTTCTTGTTCTTTTTGCAATTTTTCATCCTCTCTCTTGCGTTTTTCCTCTCTAAAACAAGAATAATGAGGATATGAATAAAAAAGACAAACAAAACTAAGAAATTTGAATGACATGAAACATACTCTTTCTTTCTACGTTCATTTTCTCTTCCCTCTTCTCTTTTGCGCTGTTCTTCCCTACGTTTCAGACGCTTTTCTTCTTTCTCACGTTCTTCTGCATCTTTCTTTTCTTGTCTTTCTAGTTGCCGCCTCTCCTGACCAGAAAAGTTTAAATAATCGAAAAAAAACCTTCTCCAATTTTTTTTGTTTACTTTCTAGTTCCCTTTGATGCTTCCTGGCTATACGTAAACGTTCAGGTTCAGCGCGTTTATGTGTCCTTTGACAATCTGTAACGGTCTTTTCAGTTGATTTCTGCGTAAGAGGATTTTCGAGGAAACAACACGTCAATACAAAGTGTTCAGACGTAAAACCAAGTAATGTAACATTAACATTTAGTAAGAAAAAGAACACAATAGAAAAGATTGATTATCTAACCACATTGTATTTTCAGTAATCTTTCATAACGATATTTTCTAGGAATAATATTCACCACAGACACAAGAAAATGTTATGAATTCACCACAAAAATGTGCCTTAGTATCAACCAAGCTCTTACACTAAATGCCCGTTACGTAACTGCCAAGTCATCTATTTCCCTCAAAAATAAGAATTTTGACAGCTGGAGAACAATAAATATGCATACTGGTGCTTGTCTTTGATAGCTACGCGAAAACTCATCGCCTAATCTTACATTTTAACTGTTGACAGTTGCAATTCAGCAATTCTTAAGTCCCAGTCGGTAGAGAAAGCTGAGTACCTGGTTACTAGTTCTTAAAATGGAATTTCCTCAAGTGCTGCAAACGCCATAGTTCAGGACTTGGAGAAATTGAGTGAACAAATATTGGCATAAGTAAGCTTTCTGTCTTTTCAAACAGTACGCGGAAAATGTAAAAAACGTTGCTCCAGCATTACCAACCACAAGAAAACGTTTCAGTAAGATATTCCAACTTATTAGTATATACTTTTTCTGGATATCATTAGAGGCGGAGAATACCCAACCTGAGTAATGGATACACTAGTAGGTAGTAAAATTATCAATCCACTGACAGGTCACATACTACATTTATCCATGTTTGACAGAGTATTCAAACGGTTTGATATCAATAAAATTCCCAAAATATGACTATCCTAAACTGTCATTGTTCCTTTGTAGGGTCTCAACAGGTCGTCTGGTATTCGCCACCCTACAAAAAGTCACAAATGAATGCTTTTAACCATTTAGTTAAGGCATTTTATTCCTGAGTAAATAGATACCTTCTTATGAAGTAATTGCATAAATTTAGGCCAAACGTACAACAAAGTCTATTTTCAGTCTATTTGTAGAAATCACGGACAGTTGTGTAGTGACTTTAAAATGTTAGCAAATATTTTGAGCTGTTTGGGAAAGGTATCGCTAGAATCTTCTTTTTTCATGCATTAAGTTTGAACAGAACACCGGAGCTTGTAATCCAGTATACAAAATTTAAATTGACCCAACTCACCAAGACAAAAATCACTAGTGACCACATACAACTTGATATTGCTAGTTTTGACGTCTATTTACACCACTCAGTTCACCAAAAGGAAGCACATGGAATGACATTTGGCTTATTAAAAGTCGGACACTGTGATGAAGATAAATAAATATTCTGAAATTCTTGATTTTCTATGTTACTCTACGTTTTTCCTCAGAATAAGCGTCTTTTTCGCTTCGAGTAATGTTCGCTATAATTATTTCTACTTACTTTCATTGGTAGTATCATTTATCGATTCCTATACTTCTCATACTGTTAATTGCAATTGAATGCGCGAAGTGTGGTAAATAGTCTCGACGAATATTTGTGCACAGACCAACTAAATAAGAGGAATAATAAATGAACAATTCCCCGCAAAACCACTTTGCAGCAAAAGTTAGTATCTAAACTAAGTGGGATTTCAACTGATGACACATCATAATGAAAATCGGTGAAGTTCTGAGTGAGACTGGGGATTAAACACAAACCCTTTATATAGAATAACGACTAAAACAACCATATTCACGGTCCCAAAAAATTGAATAAGCCATAGAGAGACTTTAATTTGTGGACGACATTTCAACGAATCGTAAATGACCCTGTGAAATATCTGCCAATCAGCAAGCAGTCAGTGTAGAGTAAAAATATATTATACAAAACCAAGAAAATAAAATGAATGCACTTCTTATATGGGATTCAAAAACTTGTCAAGATTAGAAAGAGGTTTAGTGGTTCTGAAATCGTAACGCATGCAATAAAGGAAATCATCCATATGGCTATAGAATAGTCAGCCTCTGGAGCCATGATAAGGTTGCAAAAACTTTTTCAGCCTCGACCACATAGCTTCAATATTGTTTACGTGCACTCTGGTTGTTGAGTGCACAAAATGCCAATTGTGGATAACGACACGATGTACATAATCAAGCCTATGAAGAAGTCTGTACGCTCTCCAAACATCCGTATATATTGTAGTACCTGGCTGCAGCCACTGTTATTGGTGCTTTTATTATCCCGTTCGCGATAATTATCGTAATTTGCCTTAGTTAGGAATTATATATGGGGTTTTCATCACGAACTGACATCAGCTATAATGCCAGAAATTTATTTAGCCAAATGGATGAAAGACTTTCGAGCCAAAATCCGAGATCTATTATCTTATACTTGATTGATTCGTCCACAAATTATAGTCTCGCCGTTTTATTTGTTATAGCCGCTCAATTGTCACGTTTTGTAGAAAATTTCACGTAAACCCATTGTACGTTAGCATTAAGCACTGAAGTTGTCGCCGCAACCTTGAAATCCTTCGAACGCCTCTGACTGGCTCGTCCATAAATTAGTCTCACCTGGGAGAGAACAAACCAGATCTCAGCGGAAGAAGCGCTGGAAATCGATAGGACACACATTGAGGGAAGCACCCAACTGCGATACAAGGCAAGCCCTCACATGTAATCCTGAAGGCCAAAGGCAAAGATGAAGACCGAAGAACATGTTACGCCGAGAAATGGAGATAGGCATGAGTAGAAGGGACGAAATCGATCGTAACTAGAAAGGAAGGCCCAGGAAAGAGTGGACTGGAGTACGCTGATTGGCAGCTTTGCTCCATTAGGAGTAACAGTTGTAAAAACTGCTTAATTAAGCAAACATACGTCAGTAGAGGTTTAAGCCATTTCCTGATTGTTGCACAAACAATGCCACTATCCTTTATATTATTAAAAAATTACATGCTTAAGGCAATTCGTAACAACTAGGAAAAGCATAAATTCTTTGTAGGTAACGAATAATGATATGTAAATCCACACTTCGTTATGATATGTCAAATTAAAAACCTTGAAAGTTATTTTCCGTGTAACTGGAGGAACTACATCAGCTATAAAGATGAATAAACAACTCAAAACAATATGAGCAAATTAAAACATCAAAACGGAGAGAATCGTATTAAAGTTACACTGACCATCCTGTAGTGTGGCAAACAACTTGGCAAGTACCACGTACAGACCGGTGAGGCTAACACTTTATTGCAGACAAAGACAAAAAAGCTTCATAATTGGAAAAATTTTATGAGGTTAAGAATACCCAGGACCTTACAAGTCTAGTTTGCTCCATAGCCAAAGAAAACAAACTTCCCGCAATCAAGACAGTACACCGCCACAATACGAAAACAAACTAAACAACATACAGGGTTTA